CCCATGTCCCCTGCATCGGCAGGCGGACTCTCAACCACTGCGCCACCAGGGAAGCCTGAGCTACTCATTTTTACCTGCTGAATTCTTCATTCTTCCTCCCTTTAAACTAGGAAAAGAATCAACACGTTGGGCAAGGCGTGGTGTACATTCAGGAGAGCATAAGTCAGGAGTTAAGTTACATTGCTTAGTGATCTCATTCCTATAATTAGGTTTTTAAGGTTAGAGGGGGACAGAAATGGGTAAATAGGAAATGTGCAAAGAGCTGCTTTCAATTCCCCACCGTCAGTCATCATTCCATTTCTATGGGATCAGGGGCGAAGGTCCATCTTCTGCCAACGTCTTCATGCTGACATGGGGCGCTGTATTCTCAGAGTGGAAGAGGTCCACATGAGTATATAGCATCTCTTTCCTGACAATTTTAGTTGCCCACTTACATATGCAGGCAGAGCAAGCTACAATTATTTTGATGCCCACAAAGACATAGATTATTATGAGCAATCGTGTTTAATCCCGTTCTCTTGAGGCCAGTTCTTGGAATTGTGCTGGCCGTAGGCGCAGTACCGCTCAAGTTGGAGTAGCTTATGTCATGGCTGCAGTCTGGCTTTTTCCCTCTGGTGGCAGTTACAGTATCTGTAAAACAACTCAGGAAGGTGCATCAGACACTGAGTCTGTGACTCTGTTGTCCTGATTGTTAACTGCTCGAGGCCACTCTTCATGACTCTGGGAGGCCTGGGAGTCTTCAACTTTTCTATGACCAGAGGCAGGAGACGTGCAGGGGCCTTTGTACTTGGCAGTGGGCTGGGGCGATGAGCTACAGCGTTCTGCTTGGTTCCAATATCACTTGTTTTTTGTGGGAATTCACATTACAAAAAGATCTTGAAGTTTAATAATATTTCATGATATATACTCAGAGACAAATATTGTATCAGCTTCCAATTTGGTAGAGAACATGAGGGCAGAATATAGGAGAATAAAACAATATAAATATCTTCTCCAGTAGGCAAAGAGGCAGATAAATAAAAAATGGTCTTATTCTTTCTAACCAATTCCAGAATTTTCACTTAGCATACATTAATTATGAACATATATGTGCAAGGTATTGTGCCATTCACTTATGGTCACGAGGTTAACATTTCCCTAGTTGGTGTCCTGATGGAGCTTTCACCCTCATAGATGTATTTTCATGGTACAGAGGAAGGCTGATTGACTAGGTAATGAAGTTTTAAATCTACAATCTCAAGAAGGGGCATTGTTTAGAAATAGAAATAGGTTTAAGAGTGGTTTAGGTACATTATTAAAGGATCGACATATTATTAATGGGTAAGAAACTTTTATAAATTTGGGGTGAAAATACCTTTGGGGAAGGACATCTGGGTCTTTTCCTAACCCAGACAACAGGGCTGACATGGCCCATGGGCTGTCTCAGCACTGCAGCCCCTATTCACTTGCGGACAATAAAAAAATGCAGCCAATGTCTGAGCGCCTCTCCCTGTTACACGTATTCTAAACTCCAGCGATGTAAGCCTACTCCATACTTCATTTACTCTTGACCGTGAATTTTCACCAAAATAAATGCTTTCACATATATGTAAAGCTACCCTTCTCTCTAGGGCAGTATTTTAAGCAGATTTGCATTTATATTATGTCTGCTTATTTGATTTATTCTGGCTTTTTCTATGATAAAGTTTATATTTTTTAAATTCCTTAGAGTAAAAAACAAACAAACAAAAAGTCCCAAAGCCTCATGAACCTTAAAAGGAAGTTTTCAAGTTCAAGTTTCCGTTTCAGACTTCCTGTATTAGGGGTTATTCACAGTCACCTCCCCCAAGAGGGGTGGAAGTCACTTGAGAAAACTGTGAATAGAAAAGTAAGGAGACATTCAAATGCTATGACTTTCCAGCTCTGCTTGGCTTTCTTTTTACTCTGAAGAAAGTATTCAGAGATGCTTTTGAGGTCTCTCTTTGCTTTTGAGTCAATTAATGTTTAAGGTAAATATTCCCTCAATTAGACCACTGCGGTTAGGCCTTCCTTTTTTTTCATACAAGTCACCTTTAAGAATGTGGGGTTTTTTTGGGGCTTCCCTGGTGGCGCAGTGGTTGAGAGTCCTTCTGCCGATGCAGGGGAAACGGGTTCATGCCCCGGTCCGGGAAGATCCCACATGCCGCGGAGCGGCTGGGCCCGTGAGCCATGGCCGCTGAGCCTGCGCGGCCGGAGCCTGTGCTCCGCAACGGGAGAGGCCACAACAGTGAGAGGCCCGCGTACCGCAAAAAAAAAAAAAAAGAATGTGGGTTTTTTTTTTTTTTCAGTAGATATTGTAATAAACAGTATTTTGGTGCTTAAACAATCATTAAAACTTTTCTGTTTAATTAGAATAAAATTTTAATGCCCGAAGGATATTTCTTTGAAAAATCAGTGTTATTCTAGAAGCATTTCAGTCAGTATCTAATAGAGGTTTCCAACATTATTTTCTTTATTCTCTAGATAATGGGCATTGCATTAGGATCTTACTCCTGCTCTGCCATTAGCTAGGAATAGATCATTTAGGATTTTAGCAGTGAAGACATCCTTTTGCTTGTCTCTTAACTTGAATTATTCCTAGAGGTAATATAGTGTATTTTTCAACTTATTTTGTCATCATACGACCTTTTCAGATTGCTTCTTAAGGGCGCAGTATTTTATTTACAGCTAAAATGTGCCATAATGACATATGAGGTCCTTGTAAAGGAAAATGTTTTGGCCATAATAATAAAATCGTTATTAAGGACAAAATGTTAAAAGATGGAGACGTATCTGTATTCTGTATACCGCCTACGATTGTTTGGAAAAGTCCTGCCTTCCTGTGTGTTTTGTCAAAAACATTCAGGGTCATCTCTGAACTGTACCTGGCACCTCTTTTCTTCTACAGAGATCTAAAATTGCAGTGTTTGATAAAATGTGGACCTACATGAGAAGTGCAGAGCCCTCAGTGTTCGTGAGGACTACAGCCGAAGGAGTGGCCAGAGTGCGCAAGTCCAAAGGGAAATACGCCTACTTGCTGGAGTCCACCATGAACGAGTACATTGAGCAGAGGAAGCCTTGTGACACCATGAAAGTTGGTGGGAACCTGGATTCCAAAGGCTATGGCATCGCCACACCTAAAGGATCCTCATTAAGGTGGGTGGAATAGTATAACAATATGCTAAATGTTGTTATAGTATCCCACCTACCCTGATGTGTCTTTAAGACTCTCTCATGGTTTGTATATGGATATGAGGTAACTCACCATCACAAAAACGACCAAAAACGTTTCTGAATGTTTTTAAACATTTAGATACTGTTTTATATTGATAACAGAGTTTTTTGGTTTTGGTTTTGGTTTGCTTTGCTTTGTTTTACAACATTCTTTTTTTTATTTTTTAAGAGTTAATACATTCATTCTAAGGGTTACATTCTTGTTTAGTCTGATTTTGATTTTGAGGTTTTTTTCCCCATTTCTAGCCAACCATGTCAGTCTACAAGGCTATTCCTTACTTCTGAAAGCAACACTCTGCTTACAAACTAAGTACATGGCTGAATTCTATAAGTAAACTGAATTAACTAACCTGGAGAAATGCCACTTTTTTTTTTTTTTTAAGGGATATGCTTTGGGGAAAGGAAAATGCACTTTGAATTTCTTTGCACACATCTCTTTACTATGTAGTTAACTCTTTGTATTCCTATTTGTCGTTTTTTTTTTTGTTTTTGTTTTTAGTGGAGTCACACTCAAGACACTGTTATTTGTTTGTTGTGGATGTGAGTACAATGCTGTAGAAAATAGAACTCCCCATATTAGCACTCTTT